TACGAGGTCGGGGAAGTCCTAAAGAGCCGGAAAAAGGTGGATAGAGGTGTATGGAGGAGTGGAGGCCAGCTGTCAATGGTGGGCGGGGCTTGACCAAAGTGGGCGGAGTTTGCGACGAAAATTCATAACTCGGCTCCAAGAAGTCCCGGAGGCCGGGAAAAAGGTGGATGGAGGTGGGTGGAGGAGTGGAGGCCAGCTGTCATCGGTGGGCGGGGCTTGACCAAAGTGGGCGGAGTTTGCGACGAAAATTCATAACTCGGCTCCATGAAGTCTCCGGAGGCTGGGGAAAAGGTGGATAGAGGTGGGTGGAGGAGTGGAGGTTAATTGTCATTGGTGGGCGGGGCTTGACCAAAGTGGGCGGAGTTTGCGACGAAAATATTAAAATTGGCTCAGCAAGTCCGAGTTGGTAAGCGATTAGAAGGTAAGCTAGAGGCCTGGCAGATGCGGAACGCAAGTGTCGTCGATTACGTGGGCGGAGCAGCAATTAATGGGCGGAGTTTGCCAGAAAGCTGTCGCAATTTCGTTCAAGGGTACCCTCAGACCGACACTGGAGTGAAGAAAAAAGGGTAGAGGTCGGCGAAAGGAAGGGGGCCAAATGCTATTGGTGGGCGGGGCACGCACCGAAGTAGGCGGAGTTTGCCACGAGATTTATTGTCCGGAAGCAGTCCGGAGACCGAAAAAAGAGGATAATGGTTGACGAAGAAAAAGGTTGAAAGCCGTCGATGATGGAGCGGATAGAATTTAGCTGAGGATTCAGATATTCGTAGTGTATCAAGCCAAATATGAAAATTTTCGTCGCACCATCAAAATTCGCCGCAGATCTGTGTTGCGCGCGCAATGCGTGCGGCGCCAACTGGTTTCCATGATTTCATTAAACCCGGTAAATAAAAACGACAAGGAAAATCTCAGTGTGTCTCTTTTTGCCCAATAAAAATAACAATAATAAAAATCTACGGTGCTCAAAAAATGCATATAGATACATTTCTGACTGAACACTCAGGAACGATACACACTCAGAAACTTCACCTGGATAAATTAATGAAGTTATCCAGACCAGTTCCGTGTAACTGCTATAATTTTAAGCCTTCACTAAAACTTCAATGGCATCATATACATATCGAGTTGAATCGACGCGTCGAATCCCATCCTTCCAATTTGTATGTTGTGTCGGTGAAATAACCAATCCAATCCTTCATTTACATTGCGCCCAGACCATGCGCGTGCAGAAGGAGAACACGTGAAAATTTCATGTAAATTTCCATGCATCAAGGATAGCCGTGCAATCACAACCTGTTGCTCTTCCTACAACTCCATTCAAACTAAGCGCTTTACTAGATTGAATTAATATCTATATCTTGCGCCATCAATAATGTCTAAACTAACAAAAGCCTGTAGAGCTGGACAATCAACTGAACATTATAACAACTCACCGTTGGGTTAAGATCACCAAGAAGCAGTTTCAAGAGCGTTGTTTTTCCTGACCCATTTTCACCCACCTAAACAGTATGCTAGTTAAACATTTACCAATAACTAGCCGTGATGAAACAAAACATTTGAGCTGTGTGAACACGTTTGACTATCAAAAACTCACGATACAGATACGCGAATTAGCATGAGTACCAAGATTCAGTTTTTTGAACAAGAATGCTGTATCTTCATTATACCTGAAAATCAACTCTTTGTTTACAAAAGTACGCCATTTTGAGTACGTTATGTGTCCCATCACTCACCTAAACGAGACATCATCCAGCTGTAATACCGGGTTGTTCAACACTTCACACTGAGGAAACTTGAAGGTGATGTCTGCATCAAGCTCAACTGCATGAAGAACAGGCCTGAACCTTCCAGGTTTGATAAGAGATGAAAACTTAGAGGCAACTTTGCGATGTGAAATTCCAAGGGATTTCTTTTTCGAAATAAAGTCAAAAGAAAAATCATTGTTCAATCTTTCAAAACCCACAGTTTTTCAAGCATTTTTATCCTACTTTGTACCATTGCGGCCCGTTTTGCGTTATAGCGGAACTTGTCTATGAATTCTTGTGTGTGCTGTCGGAGCGTTTGCTGTGCTTCGTACTCTCGTTGTTGCTGTGTGAGCTTCTCCTTCATGGTCTACAAATAATCTTGATAACGCCGTATAAATGAAGATGAGATTCGGTTATTGATCGCTACTGCCTGATGCGCTGAACCGCTTCACGCTGAGTGCATAGAACTGGTAGAAGTTATCGGCAAGAAGCAGTTTTGCCGTAATGGCAAAAAAGCTGGCCATGAACGAAATTTGAGTAAAAATTGTAATCGAGCAAAATTATGAGAACAATACTTCAAATTACCTTTTCAAAATTATCGTAGTTCCCTCTGTAATGGTCAAGCCTTCTTGTATGCAAATGAACAATATCTGTGCAAATTTCGTTGAGGAATTTTCGATCGTGGGAAACTGTCAATATAGTGCCTTCCCATGACTAAAATAACGTCCAAAAACACATAACGAAATTTCGTAGCATTGATTTCGAATGAAATCACCTGTAAGTGACCTTCCAACCAGTAAACCGCCCTCATATCTAACATGTTAGTAGGCTCGTCGAGGAGCAGTAAGTCGGGCTTGACGAAGAGAGCACGAGCAAGGGCGACACGCATTCGCCAACCACCAGAAAACTCTCTGAAACCATATGATAAGTATTATTTGATGTTTACATCATGCCGGAAATTCTAGATGTAAACAAAAAATTTTGGTGAATAGAAAAAGGAAACCTTGTAGGTTTCTTCTGTTCATCTGGTGTGAATCCTAGACCATAAAGGATGGAAGCCGCTCGAGCGGGAGCCTGAGAAATATAGATTTTTGGAAAGGAACCTCTGCTGAACAACATAGCATGAAAATATCGCGAGTATACACAACCAAGAACGGCTTATGTCTGTACAAAGACTGAAAACTAAGAATATACTCCAGTAAGCGGGGGACCAATCGTGTCGCAAACGTGCGCTTCTCGCTTGCCCAACCTCTCAGGGAGTGGTTTGTTAAGATATGAAGCGGCTTTTCCACTTTTCGGAGTGGTAAACTTTTTCGCTGCGGGAACCCCAGGTCCACTGCTGATCAAAGTGGACCTGGAATTCTCGCAGCGAAAAAGTTTCGCGTGCGAAAAGCGGAAAAGTCGCTTTCCGTCCTAGCGAACCACACCCCACCATTCACACCCTGCTGCGGCTTTGACTTGATACCCCAACTGATTCCAGCAGTAAAAGACCTGGTTACACCTAAAGTACACATTCGGAATGCGCTTGCAAGAGAAAGCAAGGCCAGGTGTGGGTCGGGGAAATGGAGAGACGACGAATGAAGGGGTGGCCGGAACCTTTGAAAGGTTAGGGATATTTTTCCCAATTTACTGTTGCATACTATAGCTACTTAGGGAAAGCCATGATGGGCGAAGTTTTACTACC